TAGGGTTGAAGGGTTTAGGGTTTACCTGGACCCTGACAGCATGTAGAAGAATAGCTCTTGTATAGGTTCTGGGCCAATATCTGACTTACTTTTGGGGGTTTAGGTGTACCCTAAACCCTGAACCCTAAACCCTAAACCCTAAACCCTAAACCCTAAACCCTCCCTGATGGTTACGGGGCGACTGCCACCTTCAACGGGCTCAGCGGGTGAAATCGAGGGGGCCCGGCACTTCGACAACCGACCGGGAGTTTATTTTGGTTTAGGGTTTAGGGTTTAGGGTTTAGGGTTTAGGGTTTAGGGCCGTCACCTTGCTGAAGGATACGCGGCGTTGACCAGGTATGGCCCTCGACATGTCTTTGTGCGAATGTGCGAAGCAGAGGTGGACACCAGCGGCTCCATGAAGCAGGCAAAGAAGACAAACCAGCTCATATACAAGTTTGAGGCAGTACGAGTAAGAGCGTTTCTCTTGCAGGTTGTCACAAAAGAGGAGTTGGTGGGAGGCGACTACCTGAGGGAGTGGGCGGTGAAGCGGAAATATTGAGCATCGTTTATGTCAGGCCTTTGATTGGTTTCTGGATAAGGAACTTAGTTTAAGTTGCTATAACCCCTAAACCCTAAACCCTAAACCCCTAAACCTTAAACCCGGGATCTGTGCTAAATCAATAGGGCTCTCGGGGTTTAAGGTGGAAGGGCTTTGGGTGCAGGGTTTAAGGACTTAAGGGTCGAGGGTTATGGGGGTTCGGGTTTAAGGGTTTCGGGGTTTAAGGAATTTGGGCGTAGGAGGCTTAGGGTTTAGGGCTTAAGGAATTTAATGTTTAGAGTCTAGAGTCTAAGGGTTCCCTAAACCCTAAACCCTAAAACCTAAACTGAAGATTCAGGGTTTTTATAGTTTTGGAGTTTAGGGTTCCAGGAAGCGTGAAGGTATCGGCGTCGAAGGCTCATGGGTTCTTTAGGGTTCGGTTCTCAGGGTTTAGGGTTTAGGGCTTTGGGTTTAGGGTTTAGGGTTTAGGGGATGTTGAGAAATCTTCATTTAAGGGTTTCAATCCTAGACTCTAGAATTTCAGGTTAGGGGGTTCAGGTTTGTGCGGTTTAGCGTCTGGGCTTGAGGGATCTTGAATCAACGACGTTGGGTGTTTGACAACGTAAGGTTTCAGTGTTGAAACCTCGAGGTTATGCGGTCTAGGAGTCCAGGCCACGGCTTAGGGTTTAGGGTTTAGGGTTTAAGGCTTTACACTTAGGGGTTTTGGGTGTTAGGGTTTAGGGTTGGGAGCTGATGTTCTTAGTCTTTGCATTTTGGATTTAGTGGCTGGGCTTTCGGGTTGAGGGCTCTGGAGTTCCGCCTTGCTTTAGGGCTTTGGAGGTGTTTAGGGTTTAGGGTTTCGGGTTTAGGGTTTAGGGTTTAGGATTTCATGTTAAGCCCTAAACCTGAAGCCCTAAACTGTTGAACTCTAAACCCTAAACACGAAGCCCCATGCCCTAAACCCTCAACCCCCAAATCCTAAGCCCCAAAAAGAAGGCTTTCCCTAGACCCAAAACCCTAAGACCTTAATCTTCAGCCCGAATGATTCGATGCCCTCAATCTCCGGGACTTTTCTGAGGAGTTAGTTGCACGCCCTAAGCCGTGCACCCTGGATCCTTAACGTTGAGGTATGGACAATGCCGGCGCAGCAATAGGGGTTTCAGGGATTTGAAAGAAGGTGGGGATTTTGATTTGGGGTTTAGGATTATTGTTAAAGATTTCGGCAGGCCATTGCTGTCGGCGATAAGATCACGAGCGTGAACAACGTGGCAGCAGATCCAGTCAAGATGTTGAAGGCCGCTTGTCAAGCTAATGCCCGTATACAGAAGAAGCATGTCACACAAACATGCGAAGTAGTCGCACTGCTTATCGCAGTATCTTTGGTTGTGGTTGTGACATCCGTTTCAACACCTTTGACTCTTTATAGAACTCTTCTAGAGCCCTTGAAAACCTTCCCATACTGTAAGTCCATATTCGTCATAGAAGAAGCCGCGGCCACCACCCAAAGAGGGCCCATCAAGAGGTACCAAAGAATAGCTCCATCTTACACACTATCCGCGAGACCCTGTGCTCTCAATCCTTAACGCAAGAAGCCAGACAACCGCAAAGCCCTGAATCCTAAAAGCCCTAAAGCCCTAAAGCCTTAAACCCCTAAAGCCCTAAACACCTAAAGCAATAAGTCTTAACGCCCTAAACCCTACATCCCTAAACACCTAAAGCAAAGAGTCTTAACTCCCTAAACCCTAAAGTCCCAAAGCCCCAAATTTTACTTAGTTGAACCCTAAACCCTAAAACCCTAAACCCTAAACCCTTAAACCCTAAACCCCTAAACCCTAAACCCTAAGTTGAGGAGTGTTGGAGTCTCTGAGTCTGTCAGAGTAGCCGGTTCGAAGTCGACTCTGGCTCTTGGCGCTCCAAATCGACCTAAGTAGTTGTCAAAATTATGGTCCCTTTTAGGGTTTAGGGTTTAGGGTTTAGGGTTGGGGTACCCTAAATAATAGGTGCCGTATTATAATAAGGACCCATAAAAAAGGGACCATAATTTTGACAACCACCCACCTAAATATTGTTAGCCCTATTCTTGCGGCTTCAATGAGGATTTAGGCTTCAGGGTTAGGGTTAGGGTTTAGGGTTTGGGGTTTAGGGTTTAGGGTTTAGGGTTAATGTAGGGAGCTAAAGAGTTACCAATACTATTCTGGGGGCTCCAGATAATAAGTATAGAAGAATGACCAAAACCCTTTCTAGTTATTAAGGCCGCTGCATTAGCGCTTTAGGATTCTGGGTTTAGGGCGCTCGGCTTGAGGGCTTGGGGTCTCGAAGCTTGGTTTAGGGTTTAGGGTTTGGGGAACTATGCCCTGAAGTTGCCGGCCCTAAACCTTAAACCCTAAACCCTAAACCCTAAACCGGAGGGGAAGGCATCTCGGTTTGCCAGCTTGC